GCTTCCACTCTTCCTTGTCAATATTGACATAAAACTGTTTGATACCCTCCAGTGTCAGTTCATCACGCTTTACCAAGATTCTCACTGGCTTATTCATGAACTTCCTTGTAATCTCAAGGGCTTCTGGCGGCATTGTAGCAGAGAACACTCCAACCTGAATTTTGGATGGCAGCAGCTGGAAGATGTCATAGATCTGCAACACCAACCAACACATTCACAATGTCATGAATGTAAATAAATAAACTTTTACCTTCCTCACAGATGTTTATTTGGATAGAAGAACAGGAAATAATTGTATCCAGTCCAGATAAAACAATATTGTATGTTGTCTTATTTGTGCTTTATAAACACAAGGGAATTCAAACCTCAAGGACATTTACAAACAAAAGAACTGCGATAATCAACAAGTACATGACAACCAAAATTCGTGCACTACTTAAATTGTGAAAATTAATAGAAAAAACAAACCTGATCCTTGAAACCTCGTGAAAGCATTTCATCAGCCTCATCCAAAACAAACATCCTTATGCAATCTGGGCGGAGAGACTGCCTCCGCAGCATGTCAAACACACGGCCAGGAGTGCCAACAACAGTGTGGACCCCAGCTTGGAGAATGCGCTGATCCTCACGAACACTTGTCCCACCAACACACGCATGAACCTTAACACCCAGGTAATCACCAAGAGCTCGCATAACTTTCTCAATCTGCTGTGCTAGCTCCCTTGTTGGTGCCAAAACCAAAGCCTGGCACTGAACCAATCCATAATCAAGCTGCTGCAAAATTCCAGAACAGAATGTTGCTGTCTTTCCTGTTCCAGACTGAGCCTGTTGAATCACATCAAGACCTTTGCAGAAAGGAACAATTCCCCTTTGCTGGATTGCAGAAGGCCTCTCAAAACCTTAAAAAAATTAATAAAACACCAACAAATTATTATGTGGTAAGAGAAGCAAGAGTAACAATTATATTTTTACCAGCAAATCATTAATATCAGTTTCAAAATAATTAAAATCCCAATTTTTATGGACTTCCCATGTACCCACTTTGTTTTGTTATCTTACAATAAGTAAAGTGCTTTTGTGAGAGACCGGGTAAATTTAAAACACTAAACTGCAGCCATATATATGTAATGGAAAAAGTGTATGCTCATTTAACATATACATTATCAAGCATGCTATAAAGTATTAACCATCCCCAAGCCTTAATCATTGGCAATATAACCACAACAATAAATCTAAATTATTTTTAATGAAACCACATATAACTTCAATTAATCTGGAAAAAATTTATTTATTTATGCACTTAATTGAGTGCTGATTTCAAAGAACGATTGGCATAAAATATATGAATAAGCACTTAAACTAAGCGAGTCAATCTGCCAGTAGATACCATAAGCATATATGCCTCGCAGAAGATTTTCTTGTAATCCCATTGCATCAAAGCTGTCGTAGACTTCATCATAAGATGTGAAGAATTCTTGCCCATCAGTGGAAAGCCTGTGTAGTTAATTTAAAAGAAATCAAATCCCAGAAAAAAGTGAATGAATAAAGAACTCAAGCATGACAATACAACTAGTGCAACATACAGTATAGCAACTTACAATTCACTCATCTTAGCATCATATTGGCGAGCGTCAAATTGTGTTCCTTCTGGAGCCAAACCTGCCATCACTGGAAAAAGAAACCTCTGTTAAAAAAGGAAGGCCATAACTCAAATACTCAAGCGAAATTGAAACATATAACAAAGGAATAGTTCCATAACAACACAAAAATCAAATATCATACAAATAACTAAACCACCAATGCCTCCACTAGGAGTTTCTACTTTCCCAGTACATCCGTAGTTCGATATAGATACTACTCTCAAGATTTCATCCATGTATAAGAAAAGGACATCCTCCACTTGCAATACACACAGGAAGAAGTGAAAGCATTACGCTGCTGTTTCTCTTAGATGTCAGAAGAAGACATTCTATAGGGCAAAAAGGATACATGTCATACAAGAAAACAAATCTTTCAGTGTCAAATACCCACTTTGCCCACTCCTCCATGATTCAGTTACACAGTGCCAAAATCAAAGTGAAACTAAACAACAAAAAGAATATGATCATAGAAAACTTAAGCTCGCGTAGAGTCTAACATATCACAGTATAAAGAAACAAATCAACCTATCACACATGCACGACCCCGACAATCCATTAAATCTTAAAACACGATCTTTTTTGTCCAGAAACTTAACAAACCAATAAACAACGATTCACAAATTTCTGGGTCGAATTAAAATGAAAAAAAGAAAAGAAAAATAGATCATGGCCAGATTCATAGAAGAGAAATAGAATGAACAATTTAGGAAATTGAAAAGAACAAAAGGAGATATACCTGGTGGAAGCTTGAAGGGTTGGAAACGGAATATGGAAAGAGAAAGAAGAGCAAAGGGGTAACTCCTCGGATCTGCACCGTGGAGTTAAAGGGAAGCGAATAGAGAGGAAAAGGGAGTGTTATAGGAATGAGGAAGGAAGGGGCAAAACAGTAAATATAGCTTTCCACGTTTACCCTTTCAGATGCTTCCTGGGATCAATCAATAAAAATAAATAATTTCTTATTTTCTAATTTTATTTCATACTCACAATGAAATAGTAACATTATATATGATGAGACATTACCAGGAAATTTATTATTTTATTCTAAAAATGATTTTGAAAAAAAAAACTTTTGAGAAGACTTTTTAATAAAAAAGTGTAGATTTTAACTATTGTATTTTAGAAAAATTGTATTGTCAGTATTTATTTATCGTTAAATTATACTATATTGTATAAAAAGAGTATTTGGTTGTAAATCATAATATTATCGATATATCATTATTATTTTAACAGTTATATGCCCAATATTCTGACAAAATATTTAAATAAATGTATAAACCAATCAATATTCAGTAGTATATTCTACAACATTAAAAATAAATCAAATATTGTCATATTTTCAATTATATTTTAAAACCAGTTATAAAAAAATTCAAATCATCCTATATAAATTATTTGATGTGTATTCTATTCATTCACATTTAGTATAATTTTTTTTTTACATATTTTCTAGTTCATCTTTTATTTTTATTTAAAAAAATAAATGAATATAATATAAATCAAAGAGAAATAATCGCAAGGTCTAACAATAATTATTATTATTATTATTATTTTCTGAAAAAGTAAAAAAATATTTGGACCTAATGAATGCTTTGGGAAGCAATTCTGGAGGTGTAGAAAGCAATTGTATGTGATAACGCGTAGGAAAGCTGATAATGGGCTGGGCCCGTTGGACAATTTTAGCATCGGCCTGAAGTACGCAACCAAACCCCTTCGTCTGTGAGAGCATCGGATCTCACGAAGTCGCCCACAGTTTTCGTTGATTCCATTCTTCTTCTGCTTATTCTTCCTCGCTACTTCGCACTCTCAGGTAAAATCACTCATTACTATCTACTTTACTTCAAACCCTTACTTCAAACTCATCCAAACTTGCTTTTGTTCACATGCTCTGTGCCTTCTCCGTTTTTCACTTCCTTTATCTTTATCAAAATTGCTTAGATATAATCAGATGCACTTATGTATTCAAGCTTTGTTGTTTGGTCATGTTTTCTTGGAATGTTTTTCTGGTTTTGTGCCAAAAAAGCGAGAATAGATAGTTGGGTTATTGAACAGCTGTGTTGGAGATTCCATACTGAGGAATGAGATATGATATGGCTAAAATAGTTTATATAAGAAAGGGGTAACCTTTGTCGTAGTTGAATTACGTCCAAATTCAAATTCTAAGAAATAAAAATATGAAGTTGGTTGTTATAAATGGAATGAACTTATTTGGAGGCTCAACAAATTAAATATAGTTGAGTTAGGTGTTCTGCCTCCCGAGGAAATATAGGTGAGTATCTCCTCTAAAATTTTTGCAGCCACTCAGTGGTAAGGAAAAGGAAAACTTTTCCTTCTTTTATAAAATTTATTTGTTGGAACATGGTGTTTTGTCTTTCAGACTGTCCTTCCATGAAAATTTCAGACCTGCCTTTGGATCACCTGAATAACTGAAACCCAGGTGGAAATGCACCTTCTGGTGTATGTTTTCCTCAAGTGATGGGTTCAGTGTTCAGTTTGCCTTGGACTATAATGGATCCTTGACTATCGGTTGTGGGATATTATTGGTGCAAACCAAAACATAAAACAATAATAGATCTTGTTGTTTAGTGTTGAATGTTGGAATTTTTTTGAAGATGAATGTTGGAAATATTAATTTTGATGAATATTTATTATTTGAAATTTTACTCTTTCTTATTCTATTATCATACATAATTTTATCTGTGAACTGCACGAGATTTTACTTGGTGAATTTCAATTTGACTATTTTATACTCTGAATACCAAAGCCAAAACTAATTGTCCGGGTTTCACTGAAGTAGCTGTTCTCCAACTTTAAACACGCGGCATTGCTTCAAGGACCTTTTATAGCGGCGTCCAAAGTATGTCATATTGGCCCATGCTGATTAATGTGTAGGAGTAGTTGTTAACTTGTTATGTGATAATTTATACCTATCATTATCTGTTAGTCCAACTCTGATCCATCAAACGTCCACTTCATAGTATGGTAACCTGCTTCACTTAAACATCTAGTTTTGAAGTTTATCTCACATTTCAAAGAATACTTACAGCAATAAATAAAATTTCTTTATCAATTAAGTTGTATGTTTTAGTCCATTTAAAATGAGAATGTGGGATAGCCTGTAGACATTTGTATTTTTTTTTTATTTTGGCCCACAATGGATTTTAGCTTGTAATTGTATCATAAAGATCAAGTGGCCAGTATTTAACTCTAAATATTAGTTTGGGTTTTATATGAAATATATAATATTGGTTTCTGCTAAGCATTGATCAAGGAACACTGAAGTTGCAGGGACTAAGAAAATTATGCTTTCGTCTACTAAATCTTTATTTTGTCTTTCAGACTACTTTTCTGGAAGCATTTCAAATGGTTGATAGCAATCCTTCCTCTGGATCACCTGAAGAAACACAAAATCCCAACCCAGATGGGAATGCACCAGCTGAAAGTGATCTTGCATTGGATAATCTAGCACAAAAAGTTCAAGAATCTCTCTCTCTGGAAAAAAGACATAAATTTTGGGAAACCCAACCTGTTGGGCAGTTCAAGGATATAGGAGACTCCAGTTTGTCAGAAGGCCCTATTGAAGTTCCAATACCTTTATCTGAGGTCAAACAAGAACCATACAACCTTCCTGACCACTATGAATGGGTTACTTGTGACATCAACTCCGAGAAGATGTGTGATGAAGTATACAACCTTCTTGCTCATAATTATGTGGAGGATGATGAGAACATGTTTCGATTTAAGTACTCAAGGGAATTTCTGCGCTGGGCTCTGCAACCTCCTGGATATTTCAGGAGTTGGCATATTGGTGTCCGTGTTAAAAGTACCAAAAAGATGGTTGCCTTTATAACAGGTGTTCCTGCTAGAATCCGAGTTCGTGATGAGGTTGTTCATATGGCAGAGATCAATTTTCTGTGTGTCCACAAGAAACTTAGAACAAAGAGGCTTGCTCCTGTCATGATCAAAGAGGTGACCAGGAGGGTGCACCTGGAAAATATGTGGCAGGCAGCTTACACTGCCGGAGTAATTCTTCCTACACCAATAGCAACTTGTCAATACTGGCACAGATCTTTGAATCCCAAGAAGCTGATTGATGTTGGTTTCTCTCGGCTTGGTGCACGAATGACAATGAGTAGAACCATCAAGCTTTACAAGCTACCAGAATCAACAATCACCCCAGGGTTTAGAAAGATGGAAATACATGATGTTCCTGCAGTCACAAGGCTAATTAGGACTTATTTAAGCCAATTTGTTGTTGCACCTGATTTTGATGAAAATGATGTGGAGCATTGGCTTCTGCCAAAGGAGGATGTTATTGATAGTTATCTGGTTGAAAGTCCTGAAACTCATGAGGTCACTGACTTTTGTAGTTTTTACACACTTCCTTCTACTATCCTTGGCCACCCAAATTATTCACTTTTGAAAGCAGCATATTCATTCTATAATGTTTCCATTGTCACTCCTTTGCTTCAGCTGATGAATGATGCTCTTATTGTCGCAAAACAGAAGGATTATGATGTTTTCAATGCATTGGATGTCATGCAGAATGAGACCTTCTTGAGGGAACTGAAGTTTGGACAAGGTGATGGGAAGCTTCATTATTATCTTTATAACTACCGAATAAGGAATGCATTGAAGCCGTCAGAGCTCGGGCTTGTGCTTCTGTAGTCTAATTTTTTGTAATTTGTCTTGTTATGATTGAATTGGGATTCATAATGGTTTTGCTGTAGACATTGTATGGTTGCGAATTATGTAGTGATCCACCGTAGACCTTAAATTTTGTTTTACCTTTTGAACAAACGAGTTTTACAATGTCCTTGGAGGCTATCCTGGAATTACAGTCATGCCACAAACTGGTATAACTTCAGGATTTCCAATTCCTGTTTACTATTACTTTTTCTACTGACGGATTGTGTTAAATGCTTATCTTCTAACATTTTTTTCTGCAGAGCATGTGATTGTGTTCCTGAACTTTCATAACGGAATAATGGGTTATTTTACTCCATGTTAGCCATGTGGGCAAAATAAAGATGTTTATCTCAGGATGCATTTGAACAGAGTCATTGGAAATCTTCTTCTCATGTATTTCAATATCTGTCAACACCGATTTCCAACGTCTTAGCATTCCTCTTTCCTCATGTTTTCAATATTTAACTCAGTTTCTATTTACAAGGAGAAAAGGGTTAAAAATAGCCGAGATAGACAAATACCATGTAAGTTTTTTTATATATATATTATAAATTATTAATTATATGAACATTATAATTGAACTGATTAATTTACTAAACTATATTAATTCGTTTAAAGTTCTTACATATCTAAAGGGAAAATAAACTCACATGGACTACATTATCGCCAGTATTTTTCAAGGACTTTTGCAGAAAACAACTTGAAATTTTGTACCATGAAAGATTTAATTTCTTTTGGCTTTATATCTATTATAGTGATAAAAGGCAAATGAAACTATATTGTCAATCATATAAATTGATAAAAATAATCTTCAATAGTAACAGTAACAAACGTATTTGAAACTCGTTTAACAAATCCTTGTTCAATTTTTTAAATTCAAAATTTATTACAATATATTAACAAAATTAAAAATACCGATTATCATATCCAATCGAAATATTAATAACCAACAGGAGTGTTCACAGTTGGTAGTTGGTTATCTTACGTTTAAATTTCACTTTCAATTAAAAGAATTGGATAGGATGAATCAAATTCCAGACTAGAGTCCAAGACACATGAATGATTTATATACAACTCTAAGAAACACAAATGAGATTCTGATGTATACATTTTGGATCCAAAATCTGGTCAGATTTGGTGGTGGACTGATAATATTACTAGACAACAGAAAATATGCACGGCCTATAAACATGACTTTCGATGCAATTTTTTAAGAATTAAAATTTTTAAAGAAATCTTATAAAATACACCCAAAAAAATGTTAAAATAGTACTGCATTGGATCAACAAAATTTTACACTTAGAAACCAACGTCAGGATGAATCTATTCAAGGACGTCGACCATCTTAAGCTAAGAGGATAATTTCACCACGGGAACCTGCATGAATAAACCCACAAGATCAATGGTAGTTATAAATAGTCAATATGATTTAAAAAAAAAAAACACACAAATTATAAACAGGAATCTAAATTACATTGTTCATATATATCTTTTGCTAGCTGCAACATTGAATCACTATGTTCAACCAGCAATGATATTTTTTCTGCCTCCTTCACTGCTTCCGCAGCCAGATATGATTTACTTTCAGCATCAGCAACTCTGTAGGCTGCAGTATCAGCAGCTTCCTTTATTGTTTCATTAGATGCCGTAAAGACAGAAGGTGGGGATTGCCGTTGTGTTTGTGGTTGTGACTGCGGTGGCCAGACATCTTTTGGCTTTGGTGAAGTTGATTTTGTCCCTGAGGAGGCATCCTTTTTTATTTTGTAACAATTTTGTACCTGTAGATGGTAAAGAGTAGATAAATCATGAAAACAAGCTTCAAGATCATTCAACTTAAATATGAAATTTCTGCTTGCGTTGAAAGTCCAAGTATGAAGGTGGACCGATAGTCTATTGGAATTAGAAGAGGAACAAAGAGTCCTAAAAATGGAAACTCAGATAAATATTACAACACAGGTACTAAATATTACAACACAGGTAGTAAAAATACATAAATTTGCAAATATTTATAGAGACAATCACATTACTAATTGCTTTATAATACATAAATATATCAATATTCAATAAATGATAAATACAATACAAAAGTTTGCACATTTGTGTATGTCCGTGTTGTGAGCAATATTTGTGTATGAAAAGAAAGCATAAATGCACAATATTTGTAAATGTGTATAGAAAAAAATATTAATGGTTCAGTCCTGCATATTCATATCAATAGTTTATAAATGATGATCACAATTTACCAAATAAATAGGTAGTAGTCATAAAAAATAAGTATAATTACATATTTCTCCCCCACCCATACAATGTATTTCTCCTAATATAAAAATGCTATGATGCATGGATATATCCGATACGACGATACATTTATTCAAGAAAAATACAGAATACGGTAAGTCTAAGATACGTATTTAAAAATGTATAAAAATTCATAAAGCATGATAAAAATAAAACTACAATAATGTAAATTCAAATTTCAAATCACATTTCTTATATACCGTGGGACTAAAAAATATAACTCATTGTCATTATAAAATATTTTCTATTTATTTATGTATAGGAATAGCATTATCAATCTTATTATTTTTATAAAATAGTTCATATAAGAACAATTTTCTTTTAGTAGGATATAAACAATTTAAAAGCTTGGACATTTAACTGATATACACATTTTTAAAGTATCTAAAAGTATTATAAATAAAACAAATGAAAATATTTAATTTCCCTTTGAGGAACTCCAATTGGATCCTTGAATACAAATATGTAGTAAAGAACAATGATAATAAACAAATTTGAATAAGGGCAACTTCTGAAATAAGAAAAGGTCTTAACTGAAGGGCATAGCAACTTAGAAATACGAGAACGAAATTGAGTAGCATAGGAGGAGGCAGATGCTTACTATATAGAGAGAAAAAAAGAACAATAATTCCGCATCTAATTAAAGCCATGTAAACCATGTAACGTGTTCTAAAGATAAAATTGAGTGCAATATCTACAAGTTCAAATGATAAAAAATGAATAAATTAATACAATATACAAAAAAAAAAAAAATATCCAATGCATGAGATTCCCACCTGGTTAGGTTTGGGGAATGGTGATAGTAGATATACATAGTTTTACTCTCATAGGCAGAGGATGTTTCCTGAATCTAAACAGTAAGGAAACAACCTCACCCATTGTCCCAAGGCTCACACTCATTTATAATATGCAATACATCAGTAAAATCACCAATTCACCATATAGATGACTAAATTACCTTTTCAAGTTTTCCTTGATTAACAAGCCTCCTCAACCTTGTACTTAATGCCCTTCTAAAATTTTGAGGAACCTGATGCTTTTGCTGCAGTTTTACATTTAGTGGTTGTTACTTCTAAAATTCTAAAATAAAAATGATAATACTTAAATAAAGAAGAATATACACAATAGACAATCCATATTAAATTAATTTTCCACTCATCCCCATAAAAAAAGGTGCAGGATTCAACATACTACTTGTAAAAGAGAACCCTTATCATCTACAAGTAAAAAACACCGAGAGGGTCTTAGAGTTATCTTAAAAACCCAAATTTTAACTGAAGCTGGCAAAAGGATTTAGTTATAAAGAAAGTGTGTTGTTACCACTGGAACTATTTATCCTTAAAACTGTTTATTACTCCCCAATAAACACTGCTCTAGTAAGTCAGAAAACCTAAAGAGCAGCTAAAACTCAAATCCCAGATCTATAAAGCATAATAATGATCACAGAATTAAATATTGAAAATGATAAGCATTTTAATTCTAGGTTTTGAAATGTAAAATCCTTATCATATAATCTCAGAAACAAATATTATAAACCACTTTACAAATTAGATATATATATAGTAATGCCATTGACTAATATTATGGTAATAAAGATATATCTGACCTCGAGGAAACTAACAATGGCATTTAGGTCAGATCCATTATTATCTTTTAGTGCTGATAGAGCTTCAAAAACCATTGCATTATACCTGATAGAAGAACAAAAGTACCAACAGATCCTCATAATATGATCTTAATTGACAGAACAAGTAGCTTGTCATGTTATCCTTTTTATAACAAATAATGGTAGTCAAGTAAAAATGCTGAAGTGCAAACCATGACTAAATAAATAGTTCTGCAACATCACATTTTACTGTATCAATAAAATATGACATTTCTCTGCGGATACATTCATAATAATTGGTACTTTATTCTATTCAAAATTCAACTTCAGCTGTAAACTGAAATATGATGTTTTTTGGCTGTAGTAGGTGGAATGCCAGAGTTTGGAGTTAGGACCTCCATCCTTTGACTTGTTATGAGATAAAAATGTTTATAGAATCTCTTAGCTCAGCACATAGATTCTTCCAAGACTTCTCTTTGGTAGAAAGGTAGGGTAGAGGGATTAAATAGCTTCTTCTATTTAATATCATTATTTTACCCTTTTTTATGCGGTAAGTTTAAGCAAAATTTTGTAACTCCTTCAGTTCTTCCCTTCCGCTAAAAGTTATACAGTTGTCCAGAAGAAAAAGAAATACAGACATTCTAATCCAGTTGTCATCATTTATGATGATACGCCATAATTCATGACGTAACCAATACTTATTAGATTTTTTAGTTTTTTAGTACGGTGACTAAAAACAAGCACCATTTTTGTAGGGACTAAAATTGTTTTACTAATGTCCTTAAGAAATGGAAAGACAACTTCTAAATCAGTCATCTATGATGCGCATATACTAGTTTTTTTGTGTAGAGTGGTTGAAAACATGTGCCATATATAAAGACCAAAAGGTTGCATTAAAACTTAAAAAGTTATGGCAGTTTTATCTTACGCCTGGCACGCAACAGAAACCATCATCAATTCATTATCATAGACAAGGCAAAAAGGACTCAAGACGTAACAGACAACTATTTGTCAAAAGAATTCCAATATCTAATTGGGGGTCAAAGAATGTGAAAAACAATGACTGCAGGACTGCTAATACAGCATCAAACATATGTTAACTGGTGTAAATTAATAAAGGGCACAATACATATATAGTCCTATTGTCATACCTTGGAGGGTTTTTGACATCCTGGTCATTCTGAGAAGAATCAGGGGCAGCGACATCAGAATGCGCGTTTTGAGGAGTGGCAGTTGTGGTGGTGGTGGTGGTGGTGGTGGTGGTGGAGGTGGTAGCAGGAGGAGGAGCAGGAAGAGCCTTGAGCTTGGGAACCCTAGATTTGTCTTTGGAACCTTGAGAACCGTTACTGACGCTCAAATTCCGCCATTTGTCCTGAAAAGGGGAAAATTGTAAGAACGCTAAACCAGACCCAATTATAATAAGTTTGAAAGAAACAAAAGGCGTTAGGGTCAATGGATTTACCTTGAGGTCGATGTTGGAACGGGAAGTGAGGAAAGGAGCGAATTGGGGATCTTTGAGAATGTTCTTCCACTTTCCGGGACCGTGCTTTTCAACTCCGGCGATGAGCGCGTCTTCTTCGTCCTGCGTCCACTTCTGCTTCTGATTCCCCATTCACATTCAATTCTCTTTCTTTCTTCTTCTCTTCGTCGCTTTCAGTTTTAGCTCTTCCTCACTGTCATATTTCCTTCTCTTCTCTTTCTTCTATATATATATATATATATATATATATATATATATATATATATATATATATATATATATATATATATATATATATATATATATATATATATATATATATATATATATATATATATATTTTTTTTTTCTAATTATAAACAAGTGAGAAATATGTTAATTCCGAATTTTTAATAAAATAAGTTTGTAATTATCGTTAAATTACATAGTACATATATTAATTTTCGTAATATTGTTTTTGAATTATTTTAAATTAGTGATAATGAAAAAATTAACATTGATAGAAGATTAAAGTACATACTTAAACGTATAAAAATGTGTTTTAAGTTTTAAAAAATATTTAGACTAAAGTTGAACAAATTATGCTTAGTTAAGAAAAAAATTAATTCTTAATAATCCCTTATTATACCTTTATTTAGATTTGACAAAGTGAAAAAAAAATAGTAGGAAGTAAAATTATTTAGATTAAGAGAAAAAAATAATAATAATAAAAGAAAAAATTAATTTAATTAATTAAAAAATATTTTTTTAAAATTATAACATAATCCTACAATATATTCTTATGATAATCTATTATTATGTTATAAAATAATATATATTTTTTCCAATACAATTCTTCACATGAAAAAGAGGTAAAAAAAATTGTATAAGTGAAATATATATATTATATATTAAAAATGTAACTTTGTATTTCTTTACTCTTTTAAATTAGTCCGTGAAAACAAACAATGTTGTCATATTGTATTTATTAATTTGTAGAAATAGATTGTTTGGAACAAGGAAAATATGAATATTTGTATATTTTTAAATTGTTAATTGAAATTTAATTATTTTACAAACTTATAGTTTATTTTCATATATTTTATCATTATATTTTTTAATTTTTATATTTTAGTAATTATTGAATCATATTGACATATTTCTAAAAGAATAATAATACAAGATAGTTTTGTTACCATTTTTTTTTTAATGTTTGTCATTACACTTGTAATTAAAATTATTCACGAATTAATGAAAATGTATAAAAATTAAAATACATAATAATAAAATTCCTTACAAAATTTGAATAACAAAATTTAATAATAATAATAATAATAATAATAATAATAATAATAATAATAAAGATAATAAGAAAACCATAAGAACATATATTTACTAATCGAATATAATTTAAAAAAAATCAATAATTAGGTGATAAGATGTATAATTTATTCTTTTTGAATTAAAATTGATTTTTTTATGTTACAATTAGAACTTATATTTCAAAATTTATTTATAATGGTTTCTATGACTCTCTTTTTTGTCTGTAATTTTATGGATAAAATGTTCTTAGAAAACTTATCTTACTCAGAGATGTGGTCAGTTAAGAACGTAAGTTTCATAAAGATATTGTCTTAAATTAAGAATGCATGAAGAACTAAAGCAAATCCAAATTCTATCAACTCTTCATGAGTTCGCATCTTTGATCACATGGCTCAGTTTTAAGTAGTAAGTGTAAATGTGTAATATACTCATGTCTTTGCTTAACATAACAGGACTAAAACTTCTCTTTTTGGATAAAGCTCGAGCAAATTGCCAAAGCCAACTTGGGAAATTACCATCATTCTACTTCATTGTTAGTTTTGCAACAAGCTTTGGTGTTTAAATTACTATTTCCAAACATGAAAGTAGCTCTTCATATGGTAAATCTAGCATGGTACAAAGGAAGAAATACAGAAATTTTATTGATGCAGCACATCAAACATACACTGGAATGAAGGAAGTGGACCCTTTTTCTTTTTATTTGAACTGCAACACAACCATGGGAGCTCTTTAGATGGAGATACTGTTAGGAATACCTCTGCAAGTCAACCCTTCCTCACTGGAAGGATAGAGTAATGTGTAGGGCATCTTCACTGGACCATAACGGTTCCTCAGTGTCTCATCGTTATTTCTTTGGGTGAGCTTTTCTTCAATTTCTGCCAGCTTCTTTCCAAACCTCTTGAAGGCCTCTAATGGCTCTTTGTCAAAAGTCCAAAATTCACCACCATCTCTCTGTCCAAGGTACAACTCGTCAGAAGCATGCCTTGACAAGACCTCTATTATAGTGAGGTCTTTAAGGGCATCACTCTTCCCGGTAATTGTTTTCAAGTACACCTTTTCAGGATTCTTAGCAAGCTCATCATACTCAGGGGATCCAATCTCAGGCATGAATTGCCTACTGAGAGTTGGTCGGTTAAGGATATAACCACCATACGGATATTGTCCAAAATTAACAGCTGCATGAAGGGCTGAAGCAGTCCATATGAGTGTGGTGCAAGATTCAATCAACTCTTCACGAGTTTGCATTTTTACCCACCATGGCTCATTTTTCTTGTCACCATGACCCACCTGTACAAGTTCTTGCCAAAAGGCTTGGAGTTCAGTATCTTGTATAATAGCAGCATCTGACTTGTAGTAGAAAAAGACATATTCTTGCACCCAAGACTTGATAGTAGCCCATATCTCTAGTCCATCAGCAGCATAAGGATAGTCCTCTATCAGAAGACGAAGGCCATGTGGAGAAGATGAATCCGCAACAGCCACACCTCTAGATAATAAGCAAAGAAAATAATGTTAACATCATAAAAAAAGTTATTTTTAAGGTCACTTTTTATTTTTATCTCAAGTATTGAATACATTATACATAGAATCTAAATAATTTAGAGATGTGCTTATAACTTGTAAGTTGTCAGCATTACCGCTTAATAAGATCAGCAGGTAGTGCTTGCTCAGGGAAAACCCAATCCTTGTATACAACGGCAGACATTTCTAAAGAATAGCGTCCCCACAAGAAAGTTGATTCAATAATACCCTCTGCATTGACTAAGACATTCCTTGCAAGTGCATTGATGTTCATTGTGTCACGATAATGTGGAAGCAGAAGTTTGTGAATGGGATGAACCACACTGAGATGCCTGTTTGTTGCTATGACGAATGGCTCAACAACTGCATGAGTGTTTAACCTGTCATGCATGTAAAGCTATTAAAGAATAATTCATAAATAGATAAACTAAGTTTGACTGTATAAGTTTCATTTGAAAAAGTTATACCAATGGCTAACAAGTTGGTGATAACAAGAGTCATTTACGATCACATAAGCCTTTGCAAGTAGCCAAATGTAAGCTTCAACTCCTTGGTTTGCCGGAAGATAAACATTACTAATAGGACCAAAATTATCACCCTGAGGATGTGGTTTACTTAGCTCAATTGCCAATGGCTTTAATGTTCCATTATCTTGTAAGAAAATGATGGTTCTAGTAGCATAGGCCTTTGTGCCTGTGGCGTTGATTCGCCTCAAATATGGAATAAGTGTGTCATGGTGGTCTAGTATGAACAGTCTGTTGTTTTGGATAGCCTGTTCAACCAAAAATATTTGAGTCCTTGTAACTCATCTCAATCATATAAAAAAAATTGAATTCACTGCAAAGTAATAGTAACATTCTTTAATGTTCTTTCCTTTTGTTGGGAGTGAAAGATGTAAGAAGGTAAAAAAATCCTTGATGTTATTCTATAAGGGAAAAAAAAAAAGAGTGTATCTACCTGTTCTACAGTGAGTCCACCCAAGTTAGGCTCCAAGTGTCCTCTGGTAATTGTACTAGTATTATCACCGTAGAGTTGGGTATCTAGCTTGCTCTTTGGAGGGAACTCCTATAGAAAAATTAATTTGCAACGAGGTAAGGCAACCAACTCTGATAAAATATTTTGCTTTTTGTACTTTCTTAACTATAAAGTAGTAAATTTACCTGAAGTCTTCTAATAATATGAGGATTTACTCCAGCAATCATCTCTCTTGCAAATTCTTCATCAGTCATCCATGCAGACTGGTCCACTGCTCCAAATAAAAACATTTTAAATGATGTATCAACTTATCATATGTTTATGAATATAAATATTGACATGATGTATATATATGTTTATATGTACTACCTTGAATTACTTTAGGTGGTGGAAACTTAAGGACCTGCTCCCCATCAGTACGGAAGAGTTCAGTGAACAATGGTATAGGACTAATCTTGCTAAGTGCATCAGTAGGCAATTTTATTCCACCATCATAGAGTCCACGCACGTCATCAAAGCTAGTAAACTCAGGTTGGTTGAATTGTAATCTAAGTGCAGATTGTAATTGAGGTATCACATTTTGAGATGCAGATTTAAGTATATAAACAAGGAAATCTGATGACTTCAAGTGACCAAATGATTCATCCCTTGGAAGATAAACAGAATCACTGCGACTCTCACTTTTAGGATCTGTTATGATATGTAATAGCAGAATTAACGACAGTAATTTTATAACTAAGAACAGTAACTGTTTATACTTTACATAAGCAAAAGTCACTGTATGTTTCTGTTGGCCAACATCACAAGCTGGCAAAGCAAATTGATATTGTTTGACAGTGACAGTAAGGTTTGGCTAATTTCCCCTCAAAATAAATGTGAGGTCACTCAAATGTATCATTTTTTTCTAAAATTGCATACAAAGAATCTGAAAAGAAGAGAACTGAATAACTGTATTGAATTTTAGATAGAACAAGGTCATACCTTTCTTAGCTGGTTTTCTACCAGTTCTTCCCCTGCGAGGATAAGGCAATGTGGATCCTCCAAGAACTGGACGAGCCAGTGTGGCATTGGAGTCAGGATCACCCAAATCATTGTACACATCATAGTCATAGATCCTTTCATGTTCTTTGCGCTCTCCTGTTCCATCTCCTCTTAAAGTCTTCAATTCTTCTTCTCTATACTTCACCAGTGGACCCGGTGTTTCACTTGGAAGGTATGCCTACATTTGTTGATGTTTAATAGATTGATTTTTTCATTGAAGGATTATATCAAGTATTGGGAAATAGAATCTAAATTGAAAATTTTAACTAGTTTACTAGTTGAGGGGTTTACCT